TATTAGGAGGCTAAGACTCATTCTATGTATTAAAAAAAAAAAAAAAAAACCTTTCAATTAAGCATGGTAACGTTCCACAATCTCTACACTTGGGCTGACCGCCGGCCAACTACCCCTAAAATTTCCCCTCCGCCACGCCTTTTACCAGACCCGCCACCCCTATTACCAGACCCACCACACTTTGATTCTTCCCTTGCAACAAGAACAGGTGGAACCAATATGGGAACATCTCTTTTTCTCGAAAATTGAATTGTTTAATTGTATCTAAGTATCTAGTTTTAGATAATTACTTTCTTGGTAATTAATTTATAATTAACAAGAATGTGGATTCCAGCTGGGCAACATTGAAATTATGCCAAAGTTTGGGTAATTTAGTTTATAATTTTTTTTTTTTCAATCGCGGTTCTGGTTAAGATGGGGATTTGAGGTCAAAGTTCGTTAGATGAAGTTGTTGAAAGGTAAACATATGTCTCAAAAGTCGTCAATTTAGTGGTTCGACTTAGAGATTATTGGTCTCACGTCGAACTGGAGTTGTTCCAATCGTTGAACTAAACCTTGAAATTGAAAACACCTCCTCATCGTGTTGTTTTTATTTGTGTAAAATTGTTAAATAACCAGACATCAACTTAATTAGATTTTTCTACATAAGGAATTAAGGATAAAAAAACGTTTTTTTTTTCTTTCTTTCATCTTAAGAAACTGCTCTTAAGGAGAAAGTTTTCAATTCAATTAGGCAAAACTCTAAATGTCATAAAAGCTTTTGTCGAGAAATTGGATTTGTTACAGCTCAAATAAGTCTATATTATATATAAGTTTAAAACACTACTTTGAACTTAAATAATTAATTCATTAAATTTATAATTTACTATATATATTGTCTACTTATTTTTATTATATATTTTCAATATAAAATTTCATTACAATTCTCAAGAAAATTACTTTTCTCTCCAACTTTATCATCCTAATAAAAGTTTAATCGCATTCTTCTGTTGTGACTCATTGGTAGTCACTGCATTCCAACAGGACTGCCGGTGGATTGCACCCATAGTCACTGCATTCTTCTGTTGTGACTCATTGGTAGTCACTGCATTCCAACAGGACTGCCGGTGGATTGCACCCATAATCAGTGATCGAATCTTACCAAAGAATAAGGTACTAACTTCTAATTTTTAACTTCTAACTCTTAACTATTGTTATTGTAAAAAAAAAAAAAGTTTAATCAAATGTAATTCTTCTTCCCATCCTTTTCCTAGCATGTTAAGGCACTTGCTTGTCCTATAAAGAAAGAAACTAATCCTATAACGAATTTCAAAGGTGGAATATACATGAAATTTTTTTTCAAAGAGAAATATGATGATGTCACCAAACTAGAAAACAAAAAGGATAGGAATAATTTCTACGCATGAATAGTGCTAACTGTTAAAATCGAATAATTGGGAGTGCTGGGCACCTGCTATTCTGATGTTTTTTTTACGTCAGGTTTTTTCTTTTTTTTTGAAAGTTAATAAAAAGAATTTTTAATGCTCCTCGTGATTGCAAGAAAACATAACGAAAGTCCAAAATGGCCCAAATCAGAGCAAGAGATGAAGGCCTATTATATGAGAAATTCTAATATATACCAGCTGGCATAATATGTCAAACTAACTAAATAAAAATATCTAATTAAATAAGGCCAATTTATCCTTTTCATAAAAACAGTTCAGCACAGTTTAACGAGAAATTCTTTGGCCTCTCTCATCTTCCTTTTCACTATATTGACTTCTCAAATTCCTCTCATAATTTTATTTTGACCTTTCTCCCATCTTGTTTTTAATTTTCTTGAACTCTTATCACTTAAAACTCATATTATTCTCACCTTGAGTTGAAAGTTTTGCTTTTGGTAGTGTTATATAAATTGCAAAGACATTAATTTTTAGAAGCAAAATGTTGTGTAGCAGTGAAAGTTTCAAATTTTTTTTTTCAAAGATGGGATAGAAATGTTGAAATGCGAGGAGAAGATGTAGATGACTATTCAATTTTATTTTTATTAAATTTTCTGTAATTCTTAAATTTTCTCGTACTCTTTGTTCCTAAATTGTAGTACTCTTTGTTCCTAAATTGTAGTACCTACTAATACGAAACAGTTTCTAAAAATTGAGGATTAAAAGAGAATAAATTACGAGTGTGGGATCTAGTGGAGGCAAAATTCTTGGGAAGGTGGGTTATGATGGCCATCGTTTGCTTTGAGACAAATTAGTGGGTGGAGGAGAAAAGGGAAGATTTTTGGAAGGGTTGGAGAAGAGGCTACATCGATAAGAAGGTGACAGGTGAGAAAAGAAGGGGAGAGATTCTATTAGACTTTCTCCGTCAATGTATGCTAAGAATTTTTTAATAAATTTAATGAAATGATGAGACTGCCTAATTTACTGAGTTAAAATTTTTTGATTGGTTTAAGATATCATATCAGCTGGTTTATCTATAAAATTCTCCTACATATCCCCTTTGACAGTTCGACACACAACATGTTTTTTATTCACCCACCTAATGATGAGACAAGAGCTCGGCTTGTTATCAAATCAGCAGAAGTTACCCGTGCGGGGATTTTTTCGTGTACCTCACAAATTGCTTGGATGACTTAATTTTATTTAAATAATTAATTATAATATTTAAAAATAACAATTTGTAGATGTATTTTAATTTATTAAATAATGGATAGTAATGTTTTTATTATTTCTCAATTAATAATTATATATAGTTATTAATTATTTATAATTACTAAATTAAATAAAAATAACATTTTAAAATACAAAATTTTAAAAATTGGGTAACCTCAATAATGATCTTAATCGTTTGCGAACTGATCATATGAGATTTTTTTAAACTAAACATGGTTGACCCTGGAGAATATGGGATAATTTGTCATGGAGCATCGATCCTCGGTCAATCCAGGTAGCTTCTGAGGAAATTACTTTTGCTGCTTCTTTGAATCCTATTAGGGAAAGTTTCCAATTAAACAGTACAGCCCCCACAATTCGTTACGAAAATGTAGGATATATTTTCAAGTCCTTGAAAGCGGCTGATGAATTTCCAAATAAATTTCGTAAGACACATTTTTAGAAGGGAGTCCAGACTTCAGGCCACCTTGGAAGACATTATGAGATAAATCCCTTCTACAAGTTTGTTTAATCTTCATCCTCATCATTTTCCCCGTAAGAAGAGTAACTTCCTTGCGTATACATATATGTTTTTTTGGTCTTCCTTACAATCCGGCGCAACTCAAGGCATTGATTTAAACTCTATTTAGTATGATTATGATTTTAATTTTTTTTTTACTTTTATAAATTTTAAAATTATATAAAAAAATTCATTTACTCTCATATATTTTTGCAACATATTATCATAATTATTAAAGAAATAAGAGAAAAATAGTTTTAATATTATTAAATAAATTTATATTTTTTGTTATCAATATTAAATTAATTTGTATTAAACAAATTCTTAATCTTTTATTTTTAGTTTTAGTTTTCAAA